TTATAGCTTCACATCAATTCCCCCCCTTCCAACCAATCAAGTTGGTAAAGCCGAGTAGGCGTTTCTGGAGAGAAACTGGCCACATCGAAGCATGACAAAACTATCAGGGCTGTTTTTGCAATCGGTTGGAGTTTTCCCCGTAGGGCTCAACCCCGTACATTCCATGCACCACTTTTGTGGATTTTTTGTCGTTTTTCGATCCGGGAGTATATGTGCTGTGATTCTTTGTCGGTTTCTTAATCAGTTTGTGGGTATCGGTCAAATGGATGATTAGCCCGGGTTTTCAATGGTGGTCTAACTTAGATCGACTGGCGAAATCAACTCTGAAAGTTCTACAATCTCCACAAATCCTTATACTGATGAATATATGATGCGCACTTATTTTGTATTGTACGCATCTAACGTCATAGGCTAGCTAATTAAAATGTATATATTATTCACTGATAAGTATCAAATTATTTTTTGCATATTTCATATATATATCAATCCCACATCTTCTTGATCCTTCCCAAATCTGTTGTAAAATGATAATTTCATTTTTTTGTTGTTGTTTACACTTAACTAACTACTGAAACATACAATTAAATTCATGTATAATGTAAACAAATAAAGAATGAATTTAATTACAGCATACAATGGAATTCACATTGTACTTTATTGTTTTCTCTCTACAGCTTAAAACATATAAACTAACTAAGCTTAATTAATTCCTAAATTTTTCAATATATTTTTGAATTTGAGCGGGTAAATATGAATTGTCCATCAATAATGTATAACTTAGTTATAAGGAAATTGAAGTTTGGAATTTCAAGTTTTAACGGTTTTTATTTTGGAAAAATATGATTGACTAAAGCTTAGAAATCATTTTCTTCTTTCCTAATTATTATGGTTTAATATCTAAGTATGGAAATGACCGAAACAGTATGTAATCAGTATTTCATATTTGTTTAATTAGAAATATATACTGCTATTATTACTATTATTAATACTATTATAAAGGAATAAGAACGTTACTAATTGGGAAGAGGGAGGGTGCATTCCAACAGTAGTTCAGTTAAAATATACTTGCGCCTATTTTTCTTATGACTTGATACAGTATTGTATTGGATTATAGAAATTTATAAAATGTTCATCTTTAGTGAAAATTTTTCTTTTGTTTATGCGAATGTGACGCTTTTTTTTATTCAATGGTAAGAAAGTATTTAATTGTAATTGAATTATAAAAATGATTTGAGCATTAATATCCAATAGAGTTGAATTCAATTATAAGTTTATGACAATCGAAAGTAAAAAGGTATTATGTATTTCATTTCTTCTTTTTCTTAAAGAAAAAAAACCCAGACTTAATTGACATCTTCAACCGTGGATCATTTTGATTTTTTATCAATAAAGTATGATCAAATTCAAGCGTAGTATTTCTTTAAAATTTATTTCAATTTTGTTCAAATTTATATGTTTGTATAGTTCTGATCCTTTTCTATATTATTTGCATATTACAAAGACGTATATCTATTACAAATTTATAGTAGCTAGAGGATTGTTAATATTTAGGTGTTGGAATGCCTTTTATAAACTTTAAAAGTGTATCATTCAATTGAGCACTTATTGTTTATCGTCATATTATCATTGTAGGTACTTTTCGTTCTGTATCCCTGACATATATTTATCTTCACAGTCCAAATGTTTTATGGCTTATCGTCTTGCTTTCAGACAAAAATATTAGATTTGTTAAACTTTTAAGCCAATAATCGCGTTTGGTCCACTATGTAGATCAAGTGCGTTCAGTATATTTTTTCTTAGCTGTTTTGTGTAGTTATAAAGTGAAGTCCTTAACGTGCAACTCTTAATTAATATCCCACAATATCTATATTTCATTAGTACATGCAAGATATGCAACTCAGAGCTTATTCTACAAAGATATATTTATTTTTAGAACTTTACACCTCAATTAGTAAGTGTAACCCATAAGTCTTTGAAGTAGGTTGAAATCACTGCTTACTTAATGTATTTATTTCAGATTCTTATTTCAAAATCCCTCATATAAGAGAAGCAGTGGCTTAGTCCTTGCAGCATTAAACCATTCTAGTCTTAGGTCCAAACTTCACTTCACTTACTCTGGCTGAGGCAACTGGATGACTTCACAAGTCCTTACATAGAATACTCTGTCTTCAAGCCAAGTACACAATCATCTACACTTGGTTATAAAGTTTCCCGTTAATTATTCATCAACTCGTACAACTGATTAGTATCCTTAACTCTTGTTTAATAATCAATCACACGTAAAAGTAGTTTAGATAAACAGTCGATATCTGGTTTTTTTTTCAAACCTTCCCGTTTTTCCATACTTTTCCAGCATTTCAAATAAAATCCATCAGATTAGTTTTATTAAGTTCAAATCTCTTAAAGCGAAACTGTTTGTTAAGTAAATAAATCCCAAATCATGTTTGTTAAGTGTTGAAATGCTTGTATTGTGCTACTTTATGTGCGATTAGGAATAAATGTGACCTCTAAAACTATTGTTTGTCAATATGGGAGTTGAGAAGATTGTGGAATCTTATTGGAATCACCAGCCGATCTAGGTCAGGCAACTACTAGAAACCTAGAATCACTGAACAACTGTTTCGTCCTAGCGTGACTTCTCAACAGTGCACTTCTACGACCCCACCTCCACCAGCACTTGAACCCAGGGACTTTACCTGGTGGGTGATTGTTTAACCTCTAGGCTCCTGAGCCAGAATCTAATGGTATACAAATTTTACTTCAATAATCCCTCTATATTGCGCTACAATCTTCCATTGTCTTCAGTAGTTATATTTTTCACACCCGTTACGGTCGAACTTCACTGGTTGTGGGGATCGTTAAATTTTAATTAGATGCTTGTTTATCCATTTCTTCTTTTCTTTTACTTCATAACATTATGATCCGTTTTTATCATTCAGTTTTTACTGATCATGTTACACGTGAAACAACTTTCTAGTTGGATTAAATTTTGTTATTGTTTAGATTTGTATTTTCACATAAAATAAAACTGAACACCATTTCCATTCTTTAATTTCATTCATTAGTAGTATGGAATGAATGATAGATCGGTCTAATTTTTGTTGTTATTATCTATATTGTAATAAAGCAGTGTAATCATATTATTATATATTTGAAGATCTTAAATACATTATAAACTACTCATTTTTCTATACTATAACATTTTGGTCAGGTATTTCATTTGCGTTACTTAAATCGAATTTAATCTATCAATTTGTGTATTGAGGCACATCTATACTGCATAAAATATCACGGAAATCCACTGAAACTAAACTAACGGTGTTTCATTCCAACAAGTAAATGAAGTCCTCAATTTAAATTACAGCTTTCAATCTTGTCCGATGTATCCTGGTTTTAAATGTTGGGTATTAGTACAAGTCCTTTTAAATCCAAATATACATAAGTCTTATTTTGGTTACTGAGTTTCATTGTATTAGCGTTTATAATGTAAGCGTTAGGTCATGTCGGTAAAGCCTAGTGATTTCGATATTCAATGTTCAACTAATTAATTGTTTATTTAAACTATGTCTCATTTACTAAGGCTTTATTATTCAAATAAAATCACTTATAATTTAACAGTAGATGTTTTCTATGCCTTGTTAAATGAACTTGTTCATTATCCATTTAGTTGCGTAATAACATTCTGCACTGTTATTAAATCTGTCAAATAGAAACAATCCATTAGATATCGGATTCTTTAAACATATAATAATATATCATCTAAGCTTCGAAATTTGACATCAATGTTCTTTAATATATCTTCTATGTATATATTACATTCTTCTCATGGATAAAAGTTCTGTTTACTTAAGGATTATTAGTTATTAATTCACTTACTTCCCTTTGATATGTCTGTCATTAATCTGAATAAGGTTTAAGGAAAAGAAAGTTGAGAATTGTTAATTGAAGAAATAATTCTTTTCATAAATGTAAGTAGCCGATCTTTAATCTTTCTTCTTAATACACTATCAAAATAATTTAAATATTTTCTTGTAGACTAGATTACTTCACTACAATAATACAACATCTAGTCAGTATTCAATATTCTTTTTTTGGATTTTACGGTGTTGAATGTTATGAAAAAAAGATGGGGTATTATTTGTGCAGCATTAGTAATATTGTTTTATTCACTAATAGATTTTTGTTGTACATAAAAAAGCATATGTGAGTTTTTTCCTCTCTCTCCCGTTGGTTGTTAATAATAATCGATATAATACATTTATAGCTCTCTACTCTGATTTATACAATGCTATGTATATCGTAAGAAAACGATATCGACCTAAAACTTACCATTTTTTTTCCAAAAAAACTATTCTTATTTTTTCAGTGTTCAAGTAGTTTTGTTTAGTCCACTCCAGTTTAGGCAAATGCACAAGTACTTACATAAAATAATCCGTCTTCAAATACACAATCTTTTGCACATGCTTATAAAGTTCCACATCCAATATTCATCAACTCATATTTCTATTGTTGCAATTTAATAGAGTATGGTCAGTCCTCGTAAAATAATCAATTCCACAGATAAAATCACTGTAGATAATCAGTTGATACACTTGGTTGTTCTATCTTTATTTGTATTGCTTTGATGAATAATTGATTTCAGAACATACATGGCTTTTCTGTATTTTTCTCTTATTTAGACCGTACAATAACATTTAAAGGTGTATTATAAGAAAATAATGCTAACCTAGCACACTGTTTTGCATTTTCCACATTCTCTTGGTGTATCGTATGCGTGTGTGTGTTACATGTACATTACAAAATACACGGTGAAATTATCAATTACACATGTAGTCTTTTTATTTTGTTATCTGAGCTTTCAGTAATATCCCAGTGCATTTTTTTCAATTTTTTTCATTAGATATAACAAGCGAATTGCATTCCATGTACATTCTTGTTTTTTTTCTTTTCTATTTTCATTTCTTTTGTTTTTTTAAACAAAAACAAATCAATCATTTTAGGATCTAGTCGTGGTTCATCACTTACAATGGCTAGTTCAACAACAAATGATTCATTGCCTAGTTCAAATGGTAGTCCAGCGTTGACAAGTTATAACGCGAATCAAAATAGTACACAAAGATCATTTTCATCAAATCCGAATCCAATGACCAGCGATGAACAACAAATATTAGAGGTTAGTTAACAATCTTCCACTAATATTGTTGCGTTTTTGTTTAACATTTAAGTAGGTAGATGGCATTTCAAACTTGAAAATAATGCATTTTGAACTGACTCAAAAGTTGACTATTGAAATATAGTACAATATTTAATTCATTTGTTTGTATATGCCTTTTTTTTAATCATCGTAACACAATAATTATAAATTTATAACCTTAAAGCCCCCTGGTGATGAAGTTATGGAAAACAATTATCCACTCATATATTCCTTATTTCTAAATATTCTGCAAAGAATATTAAATTCTGTAAATTTATTCATTTGATAAACTACAAATCTATTGATGAATAAATGAAGATTTGAGAAGCACTTCATATTATTTTTCTAAATGTATTGAGCACTGAGTAGTGACCAATGTCATATATGTCTAATCCTTCGTAGTCCTAGTCGAATTCTATCGATCAAGTAGCATTGTGGCTTAACATTCATTTCAGTCATACAGGGGGTTTATTGCGGCTCGAATAGCACAGTGGTAACGCCTCTGACTGTGAAACTGTGTGATACGGGGTTGAATCTGGCAGGAAGCATCAGTTTTCTCAAGATTACAGCTATACCTTCCTGAATAGTGTCAAATAGCACGAAGCCCAGGTCAAGTAGGGTATCCTGTCAACTACCTCGAACCACCACCATTTTGTTTTTTCATATTTGGAGATTTTGCAAATATAAAACACTCAAACTCTGTTACTTGTGTATATTTAATCGTTTTTACACCTTTCAATCACTTTTACAACATAAGGACTGATTTACGATTAGATCATTTGCAATGTTTTTAATTTTTATTAATTTGTAAAATATTATAACTGTTGTTTATGTTATGAAATATCTGAATAATTTAGAAATCCAGCCTTCTACCTAGAAGTTATCTCTTTCTGTATGAAAAACTACTAATGGTTTGTGATCTTCACCAATTCTTAGTTAATTTTCAAATTATCTAGATCTAAGTATTGTGTGTGTGTTGTCATTTTTCTAGCCGAAGCTTCCAGTTGAATTGTCGCATTATATGTTGACTTCCTAATTTTAGCTTATCTCAAAAAATAAGAAAGAAACTTTATTCGTACTTGTCCACCCAGATAAATATCTGCAAACTTGAATGAATTGATGCTTACTAATGAGAAATGCTACTATTCAACGATTGTTCTCATTTTATAAGCAGATCTTGTGTATTGAATAAGTACAACTTAATTTAACAAGTTTTCGTCCAAATTTTAATTACAAGTGCTGAATAATGTGTCCCTTTACTAACAATAATTTAACTTTCTTAAGTCGTATCATATAGTTTTTTCAGGTATTAACGGACCTAATGGGACAATGAAAATCTGGAATAATTAAACATAACAGTTATGAACATATATGTTTCTTCAGTGCTTGTAATCTGTTAGCTGAAAACGGTAGTTTTCAGTCCAAACACCCTGTTATATAATGATGTTAAATTAATATCTGTTTTCTGTGGGTAACCATCCTGCTTTTGATGTTCACTAAAAGTACAATATGTAGCATTTCTGTGCATTTTTCTACTCATTATTTTGTCAGTATCATTTTCACTGGGGACTTCATTTTAATCATCTAAATCCATTTACATATATCTATGAACACGCCACTGTAGCGCATCCCTACTGGCCAGATGAAAAAGCAAAGAAAGTGAGAGTTAGTGCTCGAAATGAAGTCCTCAGTAAAAATTATGCTCGTTTATCCAACATTCATTTATTAAATGAATGGGAAAGTGCTAGATACTCCACTCATATTGAACACTAAAAGATAGGTGCTCTATAAGCTCACGGACATATATCCTATCCTTATCTCTTTTATTATATTGACTTAAACTGACTTACAAATAGTGATACTACTTCTTAGTGACTTCCATATCGTTGAAATTCGTGATTGACTCGGCTAAACTTCTATTCATTTCTTTCCAAAGCATTTTAAGGACCATGAAATTATGTTCACATATGAAAGAAAAGATATGATTACCTATAGATTTTGCTTAAATCCTTTTCCCTCATCAATCTCGTCATTAAATCGAACTTAAGATATCGAATTGACTTTCTATGTAGTTATCATCAAATAACATTTATGTATACTATCCATTTTCTGTAAGTTAACTGGAGAGTTATATTTGATTCCCCTTCAATCAATTTTGTCATTTTTTTACGTTATTGTATCTATTCCTAGAACAAACTACACTATGCAACTCCTGTAATCAAAAACCAGTCTCAATGCTCTACTACTCCAGGTCAAGTGTTCAATCTGTTAAGACAGTCCACATTGGCTAGTAATCAAGTTTGCATAAATAATCATCAAACTAACACTGATCTACAAACCATCCCTGGGACAACGGGTGTTCCAAACGGAAATGCTCCAACTCCTCCCCCTCCACCACCACCGCCTCCACCTCCTCCTCTACCTATGTTTTTACCAGTATCGCCAAGTAATCTGTCAACACCTCATCCATCACTAGAAGAAACAACTTGTCCAAAATATTCCGGTAAGAGTTTGATAGTTCTCGATGATCTGTATGTGTGTAAATTCTTCTTTGGTTTAACTATTTAATCATATAGGCTGAACTATATATAATAATTTTTAAAATCGAACCCAGTGTGTATATTTCGGTCCAACGAACGTTGTATTAGGGATAAAAGTATTCAATTATTTTAATCTGGTAAGGTAACTCTCTCTGAATGTTAGGGTTAATATTACTTTTACCCAGCTTTTCAAAATGTAAATATATAGGCTAGAATTCGAACTTGCCATATATTGATTGATTTAAACAATAATCCATCATTTTGTTTTCGATCATTTGTCACAGTTAAAAAGAATTGAATGAGGTCAAAAAATGAAACTTAGAAATGCCAATAAACACAAGATTTATCCGAACAAACAGAATGAATACAAATGCAATAATGTAATTTATTTTAGATCATTTCTTTGACTTGCTGCAACCATTATACTGGTTTTGATTAGTAGGTTTGTATCCACCGTAGCGTAGTCAAATAGCTTATTTGCTTCGACTAAGGCAAATAAGCTATTTGACTACGCCTTGACTCTATAATCGACAGTTTAAGAGACTCCTTTAATAGAACGATAAATTCAACAAAATTTCGGACAATAATCTTGTTCTTACTGAAGATGGAATACATTCACTACTGAAATAATTTATAAGAAGTGCTATAGTGTTACGAAATTCCAGAATCGTTAGACGATCGTTCAGAAGATTAGAACGGAAATCAATTTAAAAAGAATTCTTCAGTAGAGCTACAGTCTGCTAGGTCGCACGTAACATAGAGAATGAAAACGAACTAGAGAAATCACATTGTTAGGAAAGAGAAAGTTTTGATAACTGTATTTACCAAAGTGAGATATTTTAAGGTTCGATGGCATACTCGTAACTTACTGTAATTTTATAAGAAATTTCGAAGCTTAATTACCTAGTCCAGTATTTCGACGATAACGTAAAGACTGCTACTCTCCAATATACCTTTCGTTATCGTAAAGCACTGGAGATTTTGGAGAAATGTTTTGGAAAATAGCATGTTATCAGATGGGATCTTGGTTTCACTTAAAGAATGTGAGCTTAACAGTAGTAGAAGACGCAAATCTCAAGCTGTTAATTGGGTGTAACTCATCAGTCGCATACACTGCGAAATAGACGATGTTTGTTTTGAAATGTTGTATTGCAGTAGAATAATAATTTTGTACCGATTATACAACCTGAACTTAAGCAATATGTTAATGTCACTATTAACCATCTATCCATGTAGTCAAGCTTGTCAAACACTTTATAAAAAAAATTGATAATTGTCTGCCTTTGTCGTGTGATTTTATTTATTTTTAATATATTCACGTATAATTTGTTTATTCACTTTGTAAATCTATACAACGGATGGTCATTCATCATCTATGTCTACGTCACTTTTAACTACTTTCTACTATCAACTAGTTTGTTTTATGAAGAATGTAGATTCAGCAAAAACATTTTTCTTTTCCGTTCAGACATTTAAATGTAATGCATCAATGACCACTTCTTTTTTCTAGGTTAGAAAAAATAAAAAGAATTATAGACCATTCATAATTACATACTTTTGACACAGACTTAAGCTCTTTTTACAATATAAGTGTATTTTTCAATATACTTTCTTTTGATTAACTAAATATAAATTGGGAAATATTCACAAAAGTTTTTTATTTATTAAGACGAAAATGAATAATACATAACTGTTGACTAGTCACTGAATAGGGATGGATCATGATCATGACCAATAGTCGGCATTGTGTTTATCATGCATGTCGTAATCAGGTTAGAGTTCATTCCCCTATCAACTGTTGATGGCATCATACTTTCAGTATTTCTTCATAAATAGTAGCTTAACAATATTTTCTTGTGACGATTCAATATTGTCACCTATTTTTAAAATAAAAGATGACTTTATCTGGTTCCTGTAATCATAACTTGTTCTTGATTTCACTCATTTGAGCAATGTAACTTGAAGTTAGTTAAATCCAAATTATAACTGTCACACTATTACTTACTTACTTACTTACTTACTTACGCCTGTTACTCCCAATGGAGCATAGGCCGCCGACCAGCATTCTCCAACCCACTCTGTCCTGGGCCTTCTTTTCTAGTTCCATCCAATTCTTGTTCATTTTTCTCATGTCTATCTCCATTTCCCGGCGTAATGTGTTCTTTGGTCTTCCTCTTTTCCTTTGGCCTTCAGGATTCCATGTGAGGGCTTGTCTTGTGACGCAGTTGGGTGCTTTCCTCAATGTGTGTCCTATCCACTTCCAGCGCTTCTTCCTGATTTCTTCCTCCGCTGGGATCTGGTTTGTTCTCTCCCACAGTACGTTGTTGCTAATAGTGTCCGGCCAACGGATCTGAAGTATTTTGCGTAGACAACTGTTAATAAACACCTGTATTTTCTGGATGATGGCTTTCGTAGTTCTCCAGGTTTCTGCCCCATACAGTAGAACTGTCTTGACATTTGTATTGAAAATCCTGACCTTGGTGTTGGTTGACAGTTGCTTTGAGTTCCAGATGTTCCTCAGTTGTAAATATGCTGCTCTTGCTTTGCCGATCCGCGCCTTCACATCTGCATCAGATCCACCCTGTTCATCAATGATGCTGCCCAAATATGTAAAGGTTTTTACATCTTCCAAATCTTCTCCGTCAATTGTGATTGGATTGGTGCATTCTGTGTTGTATCGGAGAATCCTGCTTTTCCCTTTGTGTATATTGAGACCTACTGCTGCTGAGGCTGCTGCCACACTGTTCGTCTTCTCCTGCATCTGTTGTTGCGTTTGGGATAGAAGGGCCAGATCATCTGCGAAGTCTAGATCGTCCAACTGCATCCTAGATGTCCATTGTATCCCGTGCTTCCCTTCAGACGTTGACGTCTTCATGATCCAGTCGATCACCAGGAGAAAGAGAAAGGGTGAGAGTAAGCAACCTTGCCTAACACCGGTCTTCACTTCGAACGACTTTGTCAACTGTCCTCCATGCACGATTTTGCAGTGTAATCCATCATATGAATTCTGTATGATATTGACTATCTTCTGAGGCACGCCGTAGTGTCGAAGAAGTTTCCATAGTGTTGTTCTGTCCACGCTATCAAATGCCTTTTCGTAGTCAATGAAGTTGATGTAGAGTGATGAATTCCATTCAATTGATTGTTCCACAATGATCCGTAGAGTTGCGATTTGGTCTGTACACGATCTATCCTTACGGAATCCTGCCTGTTGGTCACGAAGTTGGGCGTCTACGCAGTCCTTCATCCTGTTTAACAATACCCTGTTGAAGACTTTTCCCGGTATTGAGAGAAGAGTGATGCCCCTGTAGTTATCACAGTTGCTGAGATCGCCTTTCTTCGGTATTTTGATCAGAAGTCCTTCTTTCCAGTCTTTTGGTACTTGTTCCTCATCCCAAATCTTATTGAAGAGAATGTGGAGTATCCTTGCAGTTGCCGCTACGTCTGCTTTTAGTGCCTCTGCTGGATGTTGTCCGGTCCTGCTGCTTTGCCACTCTTGATTTGTCTGATGGCCATGCTGATTTCTTCAATTGTTGGTGGGCCAACATTGATTGGGAGGTCCGTGGGTGCTGCTTCGATGTTGGGTGGGTTCAGTGGAGCTGGTCGATTCAAGAGTTCTTTGAAGTGTTCTACCCACCTGTTTTGTTGCTCTTCAATGTTGGTGATTACCTCGCCTTCCTTGCTTTTCACTGGTCGTTCTGGTTTGCGGCGATTTCCAGAGAGTTTCTTTGTCGTGTCATACAATTGTCTCATGTTTCCTTCTCTTGCAGCCTTTTCCGCCGTCGTTGCTAAATCTTCCACATATTTACGTTTGTCGGTTCTGATGCTCCTCTTCACTTGTTTGTTTACTTCTGTGTATTCAGCTTGTGCCTTGGCTTTTTCTGCTCTTGTTCGACTGGTATTGATTGCTGCCTTCTTGTTCCTCCTTTCTTGAATCTTATCCAGTGTATCAACAGTGATCCATTCCTTGTGATGGTGCTTCTTGTGACCCAGGACCTCATGACATGTTGAAGTGATTGCCTCTTTGATCCCCTTCCAGTTGCTCTCCACAGTAGTTCCTTCTCCATTGAGTAGATCATGAAAGGCCTGGAACTTGTTGCTGAGGACTATCTTGAATTTGTTGAGTTTGTTAGTATCCTGAAGAAAGGCCGTATTGAACTTTTGTGATATTGTCCGCCCCGTTGTCCAGTGCTTCTTGAGTTTCAATTTCATCTTGGCGACCAGCAAGTGATGATCTGATGCTATATCAGCTCCTCTCTTGGTTCTCACGTCCTCTATAGTCCTCCTGAACGTTTTGTTGATGCAAATATGGTCGATTTGGTTTTGTGTAGTGTGATCCGGTGAAGTCCATGTGGTTTTGTGTATGCGTTTATGTGGGAATATGGTGCCGCCTATGACCAGTTTATTGAAGGCACATAGATTTGCAAATCTCTCACCATTTTCGTTTCTTTCTCCCAGTCCGTGTCGTCCCATGATGTCTTCATATCCAGTGTTGTCCGTTCCAACCTTGGCGTTGAAATCTCCCATCAGAATAGTCAGGTCCTTTGTTGGGCACTTCTCGACGATTGACTGCAGCCTATTGTAGAATTGATCTTTAGCGTCTTCATTGTAGTCGTTGGTAGGCGCATAGCATTGGATGATGTTCATTGAAATACCCTCTTTCTTTGTTTTGAACGAGGCTTTGATGATCCTTGGTCCATGAGATTCCCATCCTATAAGTGCATTTTGCGCTTGTTTGGACAGCATCAATGCAACTCCTTGTGTATGTGGTGCATTTTCATCTTCATGGCCGGAGTATAACAGGAGCTCTCCTGTAGTTAGTCGTTGTTGTCCAACTTGTGTCCAATGTGTTTCACTGATCCCAAGTACCTCTAGGTTGTATCTTCTCATTTCTGCAGCAATTTGGAAGGCTCTCCCGGTGTCCCACATTGTACGAACATTCCATGTACCTAAATAAATGGTCGCTCTGGTTGTCAGAAGGGGCATCGGCCTCGTAACTTCCGAAGGAATTCGGCTTTCATCATGAGGCGTCATAATTCTTCTAAATGAAGACCTTCTGACTCCCAGGGCAGAGTTTAAAAGGTTTGAATAATTTTTTCTGGTTAGCGTTTTTTTAGCGAGTTAGTTTTCTACGGGATGGGGACGCTAACCCCATGCCCAACCCTCCTCCTTTATCCAGGCTTGGGACCGGCAGTAGCCCCCAGAGGAACTCCAGGCGGAGTTTGTCACACTATATTATGGGTAAAATAAAGTTGAGAAAAGATTGATGCATAGGTCATCTGTAAATCAGTTGATTTAAAATAAGATTTGTAATGATTTGTTTAAAATTACTGTTTGGATGTTGTAATAATTTTGACTTTTCAAAGTAGTTATAAATTAATGCTAATAATCTAGATATTCCTAGAACTATTCACGAGGTTTCAGTGTGTGTGATATTTTTTTCTATAAATTAACTATCAATCAATTGCTACATTCGTTAAAACTACATTTCTTTCTCCTTCTCTATTTCTGTTCAATTTTTTTCTAAGATTACAATGAAACTTTGGCAACTGATTTGGTCTCTGTAGAAACTGCTAATCTTATGTCTGAATTATCTTCACAATTGCAACAACTTGCTGCACGATCGAACGATGTAAACTTTTCACAATCAACATTTAAAACAAGAGATATATTTCACAAGGAATCCATAAAACACGATGATTTCGATTTACCTCCACCACCGCCACCTTCTATGTTTACAGAACAATACTGCAGTGATGTAGTGAAATTAGAATGTTCTCCGATTCAGACTACGAATATTAGTTGTACTTCCACTACTAGCATTATTAGTAATAATAATAATAATAATACTGATGAAGTGACTGACGATGATTCCAACAAAAATTTATCACCATTTTTATTGGCGTTAAAACAAAGTGTGAAACAACGAGCTGATCGTATAGCTGCTGAAAACTCAACAAATAATTGAACATGAAATGACGCTAAACTCTTTGGTGATGACCATCCTAATGCACTAACATTTTTTGTTATACATATTAGGAATTAATCTTTCAAATGTAGTGGCGACATTCACATGTAGGAATCTATGTATAAAAGTGATGATGTTGAACTACACACACTCTCACTTGCTTTCTAATAAAACCTGTCGATAACGTTCGATATTCATCCTTTCCTCATTGTTTTCATCATTATTATTATTCCCATCATAATCATCAGTACACGTATTTATTTTTATTGACACATTGAAGTAATATGCAGCCACGGTAAGAAGCAAACATCTCATATGCTTACTACTTTTTTCTTATCATTGTTGTTGTTAGTGTTAGTTTTGATCTTTACCACCCTCCACCGTTCCCATTTTCGCCTAACTCATCTTTTCTACTATTTGTGTAAATATAAATGTTAAGTTATTATTTTGTATGACATTATCACATTACTAGCTCTGATAAATAATGTTTTTTGGACATTTCACATACACCTGGTAGCTATACCCCAGTATTATAAACTGATATCAGGCCAGTACTTGTATCTCTGACCGTTACTAGTTACATAACGTCGCTTCTGTGTGTTTGTCTTTACGAACTCTTTCCTATTACCAGTGATATGAAGAAAGTGTTTTGCAGAAAAGTAAACCGGTCATTATCAAATACTTCTTACCGATTATCTATTTGACCAACTGTCTCGTTTAACAATTAATCTAACAATCTGTTCAATTTAAAATCTCGTCAGACAGAATTCTGGACACAATAGGCCCATTCACACATACACACATTCATGTACATTTTCAAATTCATCTCTTCTTATTATCTATTGTTAATAATCCGTTGGAATTTTCCGTGTTCAAATTTCAAAGAAAGATCTATTATTATCATTACTGAAGCTATTTCCTGTGTTTATGCACATGTCCTTTTTAGATTATTTTGTGTTTACATTTTGCTTTCACTTGAAACATCAGTAAAATGTATGTTGGTGACCGACAGCTTAGGGAATCTTGTACGCCCTTTCTTTTTACAAAAGAAATCAACCGGAAACAAGTGTTTTCAGATATATTTAAATTCTTATTTCTACTACTACCAGTTTTAACGTTAGGGTTATTATTATTATTATCATACTTTGGAGTGTTGAGAATTCTGTCTATAGTGTATGTGCTGTTAAAAATGTGCTCTGGTATCATTGTTATATTGTTCCGTTGTCTTCATTTGTGTCACTGAATGTGGTTCAGCCATATATATGTATGGTTTAATATCACACCATGTACTACCCCTACGTCTGTCTTGCTGTCGAACTAGGTGGTGTATATCTGTGGTTGCCTCTATATCTGATTTTATACTAGTTTCTTCTTAGGTATACTGATAAATTATATTATATCAAGTTTAGAAAAATTTGTTATTCTTGTTTTCTCTATTTCTTTCTTCTAAAAATTCTGTATTACATCGTATCATTTACTTGTTTATCGTTTTGTGAGATTACATTTTTCATTTTTACAAGAAAATCGTATTTGTTAATTGTAGATGGGAAAAGAAAGAAGGATGGAAAGTTTCAGGTGAAAAATAAGGCTCTCACATACATTCTCTTCATTAATGACTCACTGTACTCTAATTACATGTTATATGCAGATACATTTATACACATTACTTGATAATATGTCTTTTTTTATACAAAATGTCTTAATGTCCATAAATTGCATTTTATTTATTTGACTCTACTATACATATATAGAAAAACAAGGAAATATTGTGTAAATTGTTGAAGGTTCTTTTCTTTTCTTTGAAATTTCCTGTCTGCATGTCTATTTTCGTTGAGTTTTTATCATGGAATAACATAATAACACAAGGGCTAATCAATCACTCGTACTAAAGGTAAACTTGGTAACGTAATCTAAGTGTTTTAATTATAACGGACAAATGATAGTGAATTTTGTATCACTTCAACCTAAATTCTCTTTAATTGATAGGCCAGATATTAATACTATTGTATTTCTACTGCATTTTTCAGTCGCAATGTATTGACGTACCCAAGTTAGGTATATATTTCACAGATTAAGGATAGATTGAAAAAGTAAAACAGTGATTTATCCAGATGACAAGTTTAGTCAATAAAGGAAAACACAATCATTTGCAACACATATACTGGACTAATTAAGTGTTGGGAATTCTCCTTCCCACTTTCCGAACTTATATGAATATATTTTTCGGCGAAACTATAATTTATGGACGAACCAATCACGTATAAGATAACAGGTCTTGAATTTTGGCGCGAAATTCACTATTCTATTTGGTTAAGTAGAGTTTCGGCATTATGACTGATGTCAGTTCGTGATGAAAACCCTAAATCCTAACTTCAACCATCAACTGTAAATCATAATTCTAATTACTCACATGTTTGTAACCCTCATTTGGTAGTGGTTATTAGCTGGACACTCTCAAGGTAAGTCTAGCGTCACTCCAAGGTCATCCAAAAATTATAGTCACACCCGATTTGCAATATTTATTAGACGGAACGAAAATTTGCACATTAATTAACAATTCCATTTCGCATTTGCAGATGGTCATTCCAAAGTCACTTCCAACACTTACTAACGATTAATTTTTAGACATAACATGGAAACAGTAGATAAGCCCGAGATTTATGCTACTTAGCACGGAATAATAATCTAGATTATGTCCTTGTACTTCCCTAGTCATCATTTTTTCTCCAGTTGACATCAAAACTTGTAATCTTAGTTCATTTAGGCTATTACAAAACTTGACAGTCAGCTCGTAAATTTATCTGATAATCTGCCTCGACTTTCTGAATGACAATTAACGTACTGTTATTTAAATTTCAATACACTGAAAGAAAAATTGTACTTAAATCCAGACAAAATAACTTGTTCTTACCAGTCTACTAATTATTTTTAATAGTAATGATGTCATATATTGTGAAGTACATTCATTACAAGAACTTATCTTTGATGATTTTACTTTCCGATCCCTTGTTTTTGTCTACGACAAAATTCATAAAGAAATAAATGAAACTACTGAGAAACCCACAGATTTATGCTTAATTACATCTGTCATTAGCTAATATGATTTCGGTATTCAGAAATTAACTATCATATTCATTTTAATGGTCAGCAATATTTGTAACTTATTCGATCTTATCATTGGTTTATTTTTCTTTAATTTATCCATCATAACCAATGATAACAATAAGAAATCATAAAAATACTTGTGTGAAATGTTACATCTGAAAATATACTGACGCTCTTACTATAGACAACAATTTATAATTTCACAACTGTAAAACATTTGGTGTTAGGCTTCACTAATTCAATATATTAATATTTCATCACACATTTCTTGTCATTATATGATCCCATCTTTTGAAACTACTTACGTGCTGTGACTAGATTCAAAATGTTCTTGTTATTATTATTATTTTACGAAGCTGGATTCTTCAAAATATTCCAGTAAGTTAAAGGTCCAACAAGAATAAAGTTGGACTTATTCAATATCGCATTCTGGTTTAGTGGATCAAAAGTTAAGATTCCACACACCAGATCGATAGTCGTGGGTTAGAGTCGTTGGTGCGCTCTGCTGAGGTGTCCAATAGTGTAACAAATGAAGTCTTGGGCAGGCGAAAATCGGTATTATACGAAACTTCACACTGTGTCCGTAAAATATGAAAACAATACAATAAATGTATCATTTGCACATCTTTCTTGGATTGTTTTTCACAAACTCCATCATTCTTCCATTAATGTTGTTACTCCGATTTTTCTGTTTTATTCCCTTTTTCTACCAATGAGAATTCTACCTCCAATCCCCTCTACATATTACTCATATCGGTCTGTTTAAGTACTATACACCACAATACTACTACGAAACAGCAGTTCAGTACTTTCATATTTTCAGCTGTTATTTAAATTAAGCTGATTCATGTTTTCAATGAAATACTCTAACATTGTTTGAATTTTTTTCGCTGAGTTGTATTTCGTTTCCAGATGCCTGATGAGCTAAACGATTGTAGGGACATCATTTGACTCGGCTTACATACCATTCCACGGCCAAGAATTAGTTGAGAGATTAGAAACAAAGCTTGATACTGATGGAAGTCGGTCAGAGTCTTAGCTTACATGTCTTTGTGTAGATGGGGAGGAAATTCGTATACAAACGTATACTTTTCGTGTGTACTGTAATTTTCTTTACCAATTAGACTTTCTGACTCATTTCAATCTTCGCGGCCCGTATAGCTCAGTGGTAACGTCTCTGACTGTGAAGCTGGGTGACAAGGGGTCGATTCCTTCAGGGACCATCAGTCCCCTCAAGATTACAGGTATACCTTGCTGATGGGTGCCAAGTAGCACGGAATCTAGGTCCAGGGTTTCCTGTTGACTACCTCCAACTAACATCTTTCTTTTAAAAAAAATTTTGGTTGAAACAATTTCACTATACACCTACACAAATATATATTTGTAAATTATCCTTTAAGCATATAACTGGTAAATTTTCGATTTTTTTCCCAAGCAAATTCATTTGTAATACAAACTTCATAATTCCTGTTTGTAACAATTGTTCAAAGCTTTCCTATAATAAAAAACATACCCTTTCAGTTTGTTTTTGTTCAAATTTGTGTATAATTGTATAAATAAGGTCATTGGGGGGAGGGGCAGAGATTACAGAAAATCTGTCTAATAAGATAAATTTTAGCTTTAGTAAATTTGGATCTTCGGCTAATAGTGTAATCTAGGACAAGGGGATAATACAAAACTTGACAAATGTTAAGCAAGTTATTGATCTTCGGAAATCAATAGATCAATGGATAAAAGGTTGGTGTTTGATGCGACGGGTTCTGTTTCTTATATCAGTGTAAGAACCAACACTGAAGTGGTGGTGCATTCTTCTAATGAGTCTCAAATAGAATGAAACTCGTGTCCTGAATTCGATTGTCAGTTACAACCCAAATTTACTATAACCTGTGACTAAATCACAATATCTGAGCAATCTTTTTAGGATACTCAGATGTGAATATAAACTGATAGGTTACGATCACCTGTTTTAACAATTTAAAAATATAAACTTTTACCAATAATTTTTAGCTTATTTTTAATGAACGTTTACAGACGATGAATACATTACCTAGCACCCTGGCGGACCATTTGCATCATTCATATACTGATTTACATCACATATATAATTATTACGATCATTGATCGCGTCAGTCAATTATGCACAGCATGAACAGGCCAAAGTTGACCTATTCCTCTTACACGACAGTCAAACTCATTATTGTTAGCAATGGTGATTTACCACTGAAGAGTGGCCCTTGAGAACACTGAAAAGCAACCACCAGTCTGAATGGAATCGGTTAACCAGCAAACCGATTTTGTGTATGAACAGTCAGCAAAACTTGCCAAGGTAGTGCCGAACTATCCACAATATCAACAGTGAACCTCCAATCTCATATGAGACCTTCAGCTCTACGTAACAATATAATGTATACTGCATACAACACATATGGGCTGACATATAAAGATTTCTTAATGAATTATAAATAAAAATTGATGTAAATAACAATCACATCGTTTCTAAAATACTATTTTATTCATATTTATAAACTCATCTGCCTGAATATTATGAGTGATTTAAACAAACGCGGTCTACACAACAAATCCAAATTATATTAGAAATTGATCAGTTATCTCTTCAAGGCACAGTAAATAACATTGATTCACATTGTCATATCTAATATTAACATAACAAAGATAAATTGAGAAATAAACGCATTTATTTTGTCAGAATATGCAGAAGAAATGTGATCCATTATACAGAAATTGAACGAAAATATTGATTCTGAAGTTTACATCCCCGATTCAAAGTATCAATGAAAAACTGTTACGATCAAATCAGTGTAAGTTAAAGTAAGATACCAGCCAACAATCTGATTGCATAGTAACATTGATTATAAATGAAAATATAAATCACTGAGTGTTTGTACACGTCAATTTAAAATTTAGCATTTTTTGTAAGCGAGACTAGATGATCTTTAGTTCGACTGTGAGTGTGTAATTGATAAATCT